TAGAGGATCTGAGACCAGTTCTACTGGACCTGAGGAGACCATTTCTACTGGACCTGAGGAGACCATTTCTACTGGACCTGAGGAGACCAGTTCTACAGGACAGGCAGGCATCGGGACACACCATGAGTTTTACCTGCCCCGGGCAGTCGGGCAGTAGGATTTGTGGAACCCTGACCTGAGGAGACCAGTTCTGGAGGATCTGTTGACACATTCTGGTCTGATGAAGGATTCTAGGTCTTCTACAGTTCTGGATGGGACCAGAGGGTCTAAAACCTGTAGATACTTTTCTACATTGATGGAATCTTTCCGGATGTGTAATCTGCTGACTAATGCACCCCTATCCCATCAGAGAGGCAGTGTGGATGTTTCACTGGAAAAACTGTCCATCTAACCAAGTCTTCTTATCTTATATCCACACAAAGGTTTTAAATCTTGTTTAAAGTTTAATAAGAGCAGAGTGTTAGATTATTACATCGTCATCTTTTCTTTTTTCATGACTCTTACCAGGTGCAGTTGTTGTTTTTCCAATGGCAGAATATTTTCACTTAATGTAAGAAATATGAGACATTTCAGAGCCAAACAGTGATTTATAAAACTTTAGTTGTTGTGATGTAAACAGGCTGTGGTCGGCCTGACCACGGTTCTTACCGTCTGGATCCTCGGCTGGCTGGATGCTCATGTAGGGCTCGCCCTTGTCCAGGCGGGACTGCCTCTGCCGGCTCTCCTCCTCCAGCGCCGCCTCGGCCCGGCTCTTGGCGTTGACGTAGGCCAGGTAGGCGGGCGAGTTGTGGTAGGCCTTCATGCTCTCGTTGTACTCGATCTGCAGCGGACAGGACGAGAGGAATGACGGGGAAGTGGAGAGCGCGGGCACCTGGACCCGTTTCTATCAACCATGAGAAGATGAAGAGGGGAGGAAGAGGAGAAGGAACCACAGCTGCAGGTCCGACAGAACAACCCCCCCTTTCTGTAAAACAACCAACCTTCTCTGCTTCGTAGTCATTCAAATAATCCTGTTTCTCCTCATCAGTGAGGTCCCTCCACATGCCACCGATTATCTTCCCAATTTCCCAAAGCTTCAGATCAGGATTGGAGGCTTTTACTTGATCCCAAACCTGGTGATGAGAACCAGACATGGGTGTGGGGGTCGGGTTGGGCTGGAGGGGCTAYGAGTGCTTGTCTCTTTGCAGAGAGGTCACAAACCAGAGGAGGCCGTGTGCTTTAAAAAAACGCTCCGTCTTTAACCGGGGTCGCCGCTGCCCCGTTACCACGCTAACACCTGGATCTCACCTGCCTCTTCAACCACGTCCGGCTGACGCAGAGCCCATGGATTTATTTACAAACTAAAACATCTTTCAGCAAAAAACAAACAAACAAACAAACAAAAGGTTTTTTCAGCGTACTTGCCTTTCGACTGTATCTCATGTACGGCATCAGGGGCTTGTCGGGGGGTTTGGGAGGCTTCGGGATGTTTATTCCAGAGGAGTTCTGGGACAAAAAAAAAGGAAACACAAAAAAGTCACATTCAGACAAAAAACACAATGAGCGTGTCGTTTAGCTACAAAAACAGCCGAATGGACTACAAGTARGTGAACCCTGGTGAGGTCCGTGGAAGAGTTGGTGCTTCTCCGTTCTGATTAGATTAGAGTGTTTTGTTTACATTGAGTGCAGACCCGCTTTAAATTCATTCAGTCATCTRATAAACTGCACCATGTTTTATATTCAGGATCATCTTTTTTAAGTTTGATTTTATATAAGTTCGGTCACACATGTTGTAGATAATCCTCAACAAATAAACATATCAATATTTGTCAAATTGATGGATTTATGGTCATTTTTGTGTTTATTATATGTGGCGGCCATCTTGAATCCATCAAATCTGTTCACAGATTGATGAAACGTGCRGATATGATGTTTTTAGTTTCACTGCTTGATTTAAAACAGAACAAATTAAAAAAAGGGATCAAACCAGGGGCGGAGCCAGAGGAGTGCCCCCCCCGACACCCAATTAGCCACCCCAGGTGCCACCCCCAAATGACTGACAAGTGGCTACCTTAGATTTTTTTCTATTTGATTTCAGAATCTTTTGGCTTAATATCTGTAAAAGTGTCAGATTTATAGCATTATTCTTTTTTAACTTAGTCGGCCATCTTGGATTTCTGATTTGCAGAGTCTATTAGGGATCACCCTCAGCTCATACTCCAAGTTTCAGGTCAGGATCTCTTACAGCGTCTGAGTTATAGCCATTTGAAGTTAGCTGTGGTGGCCATCTTGAATTTTTGATTTGCATTCAGAATATGCTGCAGAAATTTTTCAGCTACTATTAGACAAACTATCAGCTTTATGTGTCCAAACCTTATAATAATATCTCAAATGAGCATTAGCCCTTAGTTTAAAATAGCAATAAGCTTTCAGAATATCACTGAGACTGATCTTGGCAACTCGAATACCAAATTACAGCTCAGAATTTGTAAAAATGGCTGAGTTTGAACCATTTTAAATTAGCTTAGCTTTAGCAATTAGCTTAAACTGGGACTAGCACTTGGTTTATTTTTTTCAATCATTCTTTGTTACGATCACACAAAATTTCAGCTCAATATTTCTTAACGCAGCTGACGTAGGCTGTTTGAAATTACTTGTTTAATTTTATTTGTATGAGCCCTCCTAAAAAACATCTGGGCCACCCCCTGTGGCAAAAAAGGTCTAGCTCCGCCCCGGATCCACCGCTGGGATAAAAAGCATTTGACAGTGAATCTAAATTTATATTTATTTACTGGTTCTTCCTACTTGCATCTTATACTTGGTTTAAAAAAATAAAAGGAAAAAGAAATGATTAAAAACTGCATAAATCCTGATTTTTATCACCTGCTGTGGAAAATCTTTCACCTGTGTGTGCCTGTTAGCAAAATATCTCCGATGACTGCACGTGTTCTGATGAAACTCTGAGAAAGTAATGTTTGGACAAACGTTGTAAGGGGGTTGTATTTGTTAACCGTGCAGCACGAGGTGAGAAGTTATCAGCTCAGACAAACAGATTTATTGAGCAACTCTGTGGCTGCAGATCCAGCCTGACGCTCTCAGGTTACGCAAATAAAAACCTTGAAAAGGTGAAAAAACTCTTAAATTCACTTGTTTTTTCCTTCCAAGCAGCCGGACTTTCCTGTGAAGCTGTACAGTGGTCGTCATCGACCGTTTTCCAGACTTCCTGCAGGTTTTTGTGAGGCTTTATCTGTTCAATCAGCTCAGTTTAGTTCTTGTTTTTGAGCAGAGGAAAGTGATTTGTTTGCTTCAGTCACTAAACTCTGACCTGAAATGTTGTTCAGGTCTAAAAAACACATTTAAATGATTTATTTATTAACAGTTTGAGGTGGAATAATGCCCAGGAGCTGCCTGCGAGGAGACATTTTAATTAAAAACCCTAAAATAATGAGATTTTCCTCTGCGACGCAGAAAGCTGCTATCAGAGCGGGCCGACCACGGCGTGTTGCCGTGGCAACAGCCCCGCAGACACGGGGTCGTCAACATGGCCGACAGGAGGCAGGTGGCGTGGCAGCCGACAGAAGGACCCTCTGCTCGTCTGCAGAGTCAGAAACGTTTTGCACTTTAAATTCTGCCTCACAGACGACTCGACATGTTTCTGAATTCATTCAAAACCTCAAAAAGGTCCTGGAGGCACTCTGAGGGGCTCGCCACCAACCTGTGGCGGCCATCTTGGATTATATCTAAATCAGTCCTAGATAAAAGTTCAATAATGGAGTGGTAATTTGTTCATTTTTTCTGCAGACTTCGTGCTTTTTTTAGCTGTTTTTATTTCGAAACGTTCGGCTCATTCAGGAGATCAGATTTTTGTCATTTTTATACTTTAAGATGATTAATTTTATTTATAAAACATTTCACTTTAAAAAAACGTCAAAATTTATTCTGTTTTATTTAAATCATTCTCTTAGAAATCTGCTTCAGCTGCTGACTTTGTCTTCCTGTGCTACTCTTAGCTTTTGGTTAACCTTTTGCTACTTTTAGCCTTTCTCTAGCCTTTTGATACCTTTAGTTTTTAACTAGTCTTTTGCTACTTTTAGCCTTTCTCTAGCCTTTTGATACCTTTAGTTTTTAACTAGTCTTTTGCTACTTTTAGCCTTTCTCTAGCCTTTTGCTACCTTTAGCGTTTAACTAATCTTTTGTTACTTTTAGCTTCAGCTCTTTATCACTTCCTGGTCTCGTGGACAGTGGCGTTCTTGTTGACCTCTGCTCCTTTAGCCTCTCTGTTCCACCTGTCCTGTTTTTCTCCAGCTGATCTTCGGCTCGTGTTTTTTTAAACCCAGCTGATTGTGATTTTACAGCAAACTAACGGCAGATGTGACTTTTCTCTTTGGTTTATTGAAGATGTGTTGCTGGAGTCGTACCGTCACCCTGCTGTTGGTGCTCTGGCTGCCCCCCAGCCTGTAGTTGTTGTAGGCCAGGTGGCTGTACGGGTTGTAGCCCACAAACCCGGCACTGCTGGAAATTTGCTGACGGAAACAAACGAGGACAGAAACGACACAGACGGAGGAAATCAGAAGAATTTCACAATAAAACTCTACTCAAACGAAACAAAAAAACAAAAAAGCCTCAAACAAACAGTYGCTGTGGGGAAACTATAAATCAGATTTTAATAATTCTTAAAATGTGAGCATCGGCAGAGACTGATGGTCACAAACAACAACAAACAAATGTTTTTATGTTGCTGTTGTGTTTTATAAAGGAGGGTGAGAGCTAAGATTGTAGCATAAAACAAACAAGCAGAGAAAATTACAATTAATGAATAAAACAATGTGTATAAAAGGGGTGTAAGAACATATCGATACACTTAAATATTGCAATATTTCATTTCCTGATACTGTATTGGTTTTTTAAAGAACTGTTTTGGTTTTTAATCAAATACTAGATCAGATTTTATGGATGTAATGCATGGAGTGCTTAATATATTTTTTTATTAGAATCTTTTGGAGAAAACGATGGTGATATATCCACATGTTTACACTATCACGACATATTGTGTGATATATCGTATCGTGGCCCGTGTATCGTGATATGTATCATATCACTAAATCCTTGCCAACACACAGCCCTAACGCAGAACTGTCTTCAACAACACAAGGATCATCTCACCTAAAAATCTAACTACACAAACAACAGCACAACTTTTACCTAGTGGTAATACAGTATCTGAAACTTTATGTAAAAGTACTTACAGTTGTCGGGGCAGGGGGAGGTGGGGGGGCGTAGGATGGTCTTTCTGTTGTTTAAGAAAATAAAACTCTAAACAAACCACAACGTCTCCCAGTGGGCTCCAGTTCACATTAGGTTACAACAAAAGAAACTTTTGTTTTGGTAGTATTGTGGTTCAATAAGACAGCAGGTTATATGAAATTTAAATACCATCAGATACACAACAGTACAAGTAAAAGTCGTTCCTTACTCGACATATTTGCAGAGACGTGCTGGTGTCAGTTTATTCCAGTCGTTGGATCTGAAACAAAAACATGACGTCATGAAGTTCATTTATCTTTTATTCTGTTGTATAAACCTGTGGAAGACGACGAGGGGGGGGACAACATGTAGAGAAAAACAAGTGGGTTGGGACAGATTTTGTTTCTTCAACACATGGTCTTTATTTATACTCCAAATGTATGAATCATGAGCTCATACAACCACCGAATATTTTGTGGCGAACGTGTTTATCCATGACACAAACACAGAAACATACACGCAGTTTGTGATGTGATCTCAGTGAACTGTGGCCTTCTCCTCTCCTCAGATACACCCAGGTACAAAACAATATCCTCATCTGAGCCGAACTACCATCGAACTGAGACCCAGATCAAAGTGTTTGATTAGATAATAAAACCTAAAAATGTCTTCAAACTATACGTCAACTTTACAGGTAAGATTTGCTGATTTGTTCCTGAAACTGAAGGTACTATTATCATCTTTGGTTAAGTTTTTTTTAGTAGTTAGTGGTAGTTTTAAAAGTATCGGCCACAATGAGAGAACAAAACATGGACGACTTGTCCCCTGCTGCGAGGTCTGACAGGTTTCAGAGGGTCTTCTCAAAATAATTACACCCTAAATAAGAAAACTTGCATTTTTAATAAAAATTAAAAAATAAATAACAGTTCTCATAGCTTAAAGCTTGATAGCTTAGTCACATAGAATCTAATATGAACACCCTGCTCTTTGATGTGCCTGCTTCATATCAGATACAAATTTAAAAATACACGGTTTAATAATACAAATGCACAATAATAAAATTTTGTGTCGACTATTTTTTATAATCAACGTAATCCATTATTTTAAAAAATCGGTGCATTTAAAAAACTGACTCGTTTATGATAGGCAACAAGGAGTGCTTTTTTAAAAAACCATTATCTAAAGTTCTGAATCTCCTCGTAGAAACATCATAAGGTTTAAAGGTCTTCCAAGGATTAAATGACCTTTGCACAGATAATCATGCACAAAGTCAGTATTTAATGTGGTCTGGATGGGTTCATGTCTACTTCCTGGTAGTCTAAACATTACTCACAACAGTGCTCATATCCAGAGGTCTATAAAGTACATGAAAAAAATAGCTAAGTAAAAGTAAAAATACCTTAACAGAAAATGACTTTGGTAAAAAAAAAAATCATTAATGAGAAAAGTACTTCAGTAAAAGTCAAAACTGTTCATAAAAAATCAGGAAAGTAAAAGTACTTTTACACACTCTCTGAGAAATAAATTGTTAACTTTACTTACTCAAACTGGTTCCACTAAGTCAACTTGAGTAATATATAGCCTCAAATTTACTCTACTAAGTTTAATGGAACTAGTTGACATGACTTGGTTGAGTAAATTAAACACTTCTTTTTTTAGAGTACAATAATAACTCCTTTCATGTTGTATTTGGGTCATATTTAATTTTGTAACGAGTAACTAGGTGTTACATTTTAAAGTAAAGAAGTAAAGGTTTTGAATGTAACAAAATAAAATTCAAAGTAACAATTTAAAAAAATGCTTGATAAAATTACAAATCCTCAAAAAAAATTACTTAAGTACTGTAACAAAGTAAAAGTATTTAGTTACCTCTGCTCGTATCTACTTAGGTTTCATCTCTCCCAGCACCCAGCATCATTACAGCTTCAGGACATTTTTCTATCACCACATAAAGTACCAATAAAGCTAATTTATAACTATATTTCTATATAMGTCAACAAAAGGCAGGTGTAACGGATCAAAAGACTGAACCTAAACAACACTGAATACCGGAAGTACATACCGGAAGTACATGCCCATACTGTGGTGCCCACCCTCCTGTGCGGGCTCTGGCTCTGCCCCCCGGACACTGAAAACAAAGCTACGCCCCTGCCAGGTACAGAGCCGGGTCCATGTCAGCAGGACCTAGCTGTTCATTAAATCTCGTTTTCAGGCCATTTTTCCGTGTCGACATGTCGTTTTAGTTCAATATTAACATGTCTGCATTGTTCGCATCCAGAACAGCTGTGAGCTAGCAGCTAACGAGCTAAAGCTAACGAGTAGCCGCTAACAAAACCAGATTACAGGAGTTATGTTGTCTGATCTGAAGTAAAAGCTGGTTATTCGCTCATTGTCCCCTTGTTTTAATAACAGGTTTATACCTGTTGTTAGGATAAAGGACATTTAATTCACCGCGGCTAGCGAAGCGTTGCTGTTTAGCTAGCGTTAGCTGCTAGCTTAGCCACCGATAAGAAAACCCGAGATGTTAAAAGCGAGCGGCGTCAATCCAACCCAAGACGTCCAGAGGTACCAGAACATTCAGAGATCACAATGATTTTTTTAAAAACTGTTTTCATGTTGAAAAAGCTGCAGAAAAACTCACCCCGAAAGCTTCCCGTTCTCACATCCAGGCTAAGAGGCTATCTGTGAGGCAAAAACAGCCCCCACAAATAAACCGGGGTGTTCTCAGATGATTGCTGCAGAATCCTCCAGAAATCTGCACCCCCACCCTCCACTGTCCGTGTCTCTGATGATGCATCACTCACAGCAGAGACATGTGTCTCCTTAAAGACATCTATTCAAACATGTGCACAAATGCAGTCAATAATCTGCAAGAAACATGACTTATTGTCCTCATAGATCACCTAAAGATGCACATTAAGGTTTGATTGATCTGTTTCACCTCCTCATCCTCATGAGAACAATTTAAACAACAAAACAAATGTTCCTCATCATCAGAGACACTATTTTTACAACTGCAATAACTATAAACCTGAATCCAATGATTTGCAAATCTCACAAAGCCTAATTTTACTCACTGTACAAAACACAGATCGACATGTCATCACATCTAAAGCTCTATCAGGCAATATATGTGAACATCATCCAAAACTGATGCTCCATCTGGACAACTGGTCTGTGGTCTGACATCATGAATGTACTGTAAATAATGATGGGAACACAGATAACCAAAACGTTAGCTTCACTAACCACAATTSAGCTAAACAAGAGTTTTTGCTTCGCTAATGCTAAGTGGATTTTAAATATTAACTGAAGCTAATGCTAACTGCTAAGAAAATTATCAGGACCCTAGATATATCTGTACAGGACCGGCACARACCTGTTCTTAGTTTTCTCTTGATCTAATTTCAGGGTTGGCGGGATCATCTGTGGAAAATCGACCAATCCAAACCAGAGTTATAGCTCTGTTTAACCTCCGATACTTTAGTTTAACCCTTTCATAATAAAAGCAATTCTTTGATCAAATTAGTCTTTTCATAAAAGCCATACGAAATATGTCAAACAACAAATAAAAACTCTTATCTATCTATCTATCTATCTATCTATCTATCTATCTATCTATCTATCTATCTATCTATCTATCTATC